AAAGCCGTCTCTCCTCTAGCCACTGATCTTTTCCACCCCAATCTACAGAGTAAACGTCAAACAAATGGCCCTGGGTCTTGAAGGAGGGGAAGGACTCACACAGGTGCGTTGAGAATCGGACTGACCTCTTGGGCTATTAGGAATGTGATTCTTCGGAGTCCACAATTCACAAGGATGTTTTTCTGCATTAAAAGCCAAACACACAAATGGAATCATACTTGGCCACAAAAAGGAGTGAAGGCCTGATGCACCTTACCACATGGAAGAACCTTGAATGCATGCTAAGTAAAAGAGGCCAGTTCCCAAAGACTTCATACTGTATGAAATCCCATTTATTCCATTTATGTGAAATATTCAGAATAGGCAAATGCATAGAAACAGAAAGTAGGCTAGTAGTTACCTAGGGCTGGGGAAAGGGTGTTGGGTTGAGGGGAAAATGGGGTGACTGCTAATGGATACCGGGTTTTTTGGTGGATGTGAAAATATTCTAAAATACAATGATGGTTATACAAATTTATGAATATATAATAGTCTCCCCTTATTCATGGGGGAATATATTTATTCCAAGACCCCCGGTGGATGCCTGAAACCACGGATAGTGCCCAACACTATATATATACTATTTTTTTTCAATACATACATACTGATGATGAAGTTTAATTTACAAATTAGGCACAGTAAGAGACTGACAGCAATAATAACAAAATAGAACAATTATAGCTATATACGGTAATAGAAATTATATCAGTGGTCTCTCAAAACATTTTCTTGCACAAATTTACTGCCTTTTCCATCTTAACTAAGCCCTTATCACTCACTGTGGCTGTAATTTTTGTCGTTTGGGGTGAGACAGCACAACTAGCATTCATTTCTTTTTCCTCCTTTACAATTTCATGGATGGAAGATTCATTCTTCCCGTAGCTCTCCGCAACAAAGCTGACAGTTTTTTTCTTTTCCCCTGTCTTATGAAACCAAGGACTTCCACCTTTTCACTTAAAGGAAGCACTTCACGGCTTCTCTTTGGCATGTCCGAATCGCCAGCATCACTACTTTTGCACTTTGGGGGCACTATTAAGTAAAATAAGGGTGACTTAGCACAAGCACTGTGATATCACCGCAGTTGACGGGATAACCGAGCCGGCTACTAAGTGACTAATGGGTGGATACCCTGGAAAAAGGGACAGTTCACATCCTGGCAGGACAGAGTAGGATGGCAAGAGATTTCATCATGCTGCTTAGAATGGTGCACAACTTAAAACTTACAAATTACTTATTTCTGGGGTTTTCCATTTAATATTTTTGTACTGTGGCTGATCGTGGGAAAATGAAACTGAAAAACAAAACTGCAGGTGAAGGGACTGCTGTACCGAGAAGCAATGAACTGTACACTTTAAATGGGGGAATAGTGCGTATGTGAACTATAATCAATAAAGCTATTAAATATATATATATGGGGGGGAGGGTATAGCTCAGTGGTAGAGCCTGTGCTTAGCATGTACGAGGTCCTGGGTTCGATCCCCAGTACCTCCATTAAAATAAACAAACAAACAAATAAATAAATACCTAATTACCCCCCAAAGAAAAAACTCATTAAAAAATATATTTTAAAATATATGTATTATATATACACATATATATATTTTTTAACATTTCATGAACTCTTTAATGAAATTGGCATTAAGTGACCCTTCTATATTATGTTATTTAAAAAGACAAGTTGAGTAAAAAAGCCTGACAGAAAAGTACAAACTGTATGACTTAATTGATACAAAACTCAAAAACAGAAAAAAAAGAATAGATATTGTTGGAAGTCAGAATAGTAGTTGATAATCTCCGGCCGGGGAGAGGTAGTCATGTAAAGGAGGCTCAAGAAGGGGCCAGAGCAGTCTATAAAATGGGCTGCTGAGATTTTTAGCTCAGAAATTAATCAGATCTGCCAGGCACACTGTCTGGCTGTTAGTTTTTCCAACTGTATACATGGGAAAACTAAGGATCAGAGAGGTTAAGTAACTTGCCAGTGGTAACACAGCACCTTCCCAATATTTCTACTACCTATGCTTGCCAAGCTGCTCCACATCTGTTTGCAGACAGGATCCCTGAGCCTATGTAACAGCTGTTCCCACTGCTGGGTGAGCATCCATGCTGGCAACGGCCACCACATGTTTATAAAGCCAACCCACAATTATTTGCATACGCAGTTGTTAATGTAAGTGACCATTTAAAAATTGTGAGTTTTCTGGCTTATCCCAAGAAAAACATTTACCCCAAACTCCAAAACAATTTATTGAATGTGTCTTCTGGGCTAAGTGGTGTATGTACTGTGACATCTCATCATGGCAACATCCGCGTAGAGAGAAATGCCACCCCTGTGTGACTGAGGAAGAGGCTGAGGTTTTGCCACGTTCTACTGAGGTGCCCAAGGTCACCGATGCAGAAGAGCTAGGATGGGGAGCCAGGTCTGCAGCTCTGAAGGACTCAGCAGGACTCCGGGCACACAGACACTTCACCAAGATAGTTCCTCTTCGTTCTCCAGGGACCCAGAACCAGAGGATGCCCAGCATACCTTGGACTGCACAAATGTCCGGAAAATCGGCACCAGCTGCTCGTCCTCCAGGTGGTCCGCGTACTGGATGGCCACGTTCAGGATGTGGATCGGCTCTTCTCGGAGACTCTGGGAAAGGAAACCAAGGGCAGGCAGTAGAAGGGTCCGGGGCCCCAGCCCATCCCCTCCTCAGCTTGCTCCCTGCCCAGACACTGACCTTGCTGTCGTCCTCGGAGAACAGGGTAGTGCGGGCCTTGCTGAAGAGGGGGGTGTCCTTGGGCACATTGGTGAAGCAGGAGATGACCTCATCAAAGTTTCTGGGGGTGCAGAGCAGAGAGAGAGGGTGAGGGGCTGCTGCCCCAGGAGGTCACAGGTCAGACCGGGACCCTCCCTCTTTCCCAACCACCACCCTGTAAGCGCATCCAAGCCTGTGCAGAGCTCATGCGATTCCTGGCAAGGCACCATCGATGGGGTTCTTCCCAAAAGGGAAGAATGAATCTCCATGGTCTGAGATGGTGAATAGCGAGGAGGGTATAGCTCAGGTGGTAGAGCCCATGTTGAGCATGCACGAGGTCCTGGGTTCAATCCTCAGTACCTCCTCCCAATATAAATAAATAAACAAACAAACTCAGTCACTCCCAGCCCCCTCGTAAAACAACAGAAAAAAAAGCAAAATGCGAGATGGTGAATAAAGGAAAGGATTCCAACATTTTGGGGCATCGCTGGGGTCCCCTTTTTACTGGCTGGGAGACCCCTACAACCTCATCTCATCTCTCTGAGTTAACTGAAGATAACAAAAGTATTCACTGCACCTCCCGAGGCTGTTGTGAAGATACAAGATAACTGCGGGGGGGGGGGGGGCAGGAGGGGACAAATCAGGAATATGAGATTAACAGAGACCCACTACTATATATAAGATATAAAACAAGGACCTACTGTATAGCACAGGGAACTATATCCAATATTTTGTAATAAGCTGTAATAAAAGAGACGATATATGTGTGTGTAACTTAATCACTATGCTGTACAACTGAAATTAACACAACAGTGTAAATCTATCATACTCCAACAGCAACAGAAGAGAAATAGTAAACCAACTTGTGAAAAAAAGATACAATATAATCGAAGCCTGATGCAGAACACACAGGACCAAGCTGAAAAGAGGGCAATAATGCTGATGTTTTTGACCATGTTTGACTGTGTTTTTTACACATTAATTGCAGTTTAAAATACAGTATTTTATATGTATTATCTCATTTAATTTTCCTGGTGACCCTATGAAGGAGGTCTTTCTCAATGCCCATCACACAGATGAGAAAGCAAAGGTACAGAGAGGTTCACTACTTTGTTCAGAGTCTTACAGTTTGGAAGCAGTGCAGAGCCAGAATTCAAACGCAGGGGGTGCTGACGCCCACACTCTCTGTGATATTATTAATCTGTTATTATTTTGTTTTAGTTTTTTTGGGGGAGCAGGAGGTAATTAGGTTTATTTATTTTTGGAGGAGGTTCTGGGGATTGAACCCAGGACCTCATGCATGCTAAGCATGCGCTCTACCACTGAGCTCTACCCTCCCCCGATATGTTGATATTAACTTGCTGTGTCACGTGTCTGGGTCGCCCCGACCCGTGTGTGCAGTGTGTGCAATGAAGGGGTGGGGGGGTGGTCAAGCTCGCTCAACCCTTCTGCTCAGTGTGTTCCAGGGAGACCAGGCCATGCTGGGTACCTGGTGAAATCCTCGAATCTCTGGAAGGCGACCATGGCTCCCATCCGCTGGCACAGTGGGGAGAAGCCACTGTCCATGAAGAGCTCCGTGCTGTGTCTCAGCAGTTCAGGGTTGGTGACGCTGATGGGGGCGGCCATCCTGCGGGGGGCATGGGGACAGGGAGCTAGGGATGAGGCAGCTGCTCCCAGATCTGGCCCCCAAGAGCCGTTCTTGCTCTGGAAGCTTCAGTGAGCCAGGACTGCAAAGAGGGGGACTCAGAATTGGGGGTGGAGGGAACAAGGTGGAGGCCGGGGGCTGGGGAGTCTCGTCTGATTCCCCCAGACCTGGTTGCAGACCAAGAACTCAACAGATGAATGAATGAATGAATGGTACACGCAGGCATACCGATCCAGTCCTAACATGGTCCCCAGACTAAATCCACACTAGTGAACTCAGCCACAGAGAAGGAACTGCCAGCATCAATTTCTCCTGGAGAGCCCCAGCCCCCGGGCCTGCTAAGGGCCCAGGCTTGGTTCTAAAGGACACTCCAGGCCTCTGTTCCCTGTACCCCTCCCCTCCATCAAACTGCACTCAGGACAGGTTCAGAAACCACAACTGAGCCCTAGGCCAGCAGCGCACTGGAGCTGAAGCAGGTACTACCCCCAGGACTGCATACCAGGAGCAAATCCAAATGGGTGCCCTGGGTGGTTAGAGCCAGGCTCTGGTACTGAGCGAAGGAGGGGGTGTGCATCAGATCGGGGGGTGCAGACAAGAGTCAACAAAGCACGAAGCCTGAAGTTGCTCTCCTGAAAAGGACACCTGCTTGAAAGGCTGGGCCTAGGCTGGTGTCCAGGAAGTCCAAGAGGGTTCCCACCATCCCCTAAATGATGAGGGCGGCTCACTGAGCCCAAATTGTTTGTACTGTGTGGTTTCTGCTGAGCTTTCCTTCTGGACTCGAGGATTTTGGTACGTGCTAAGCAGAGGGTGCCTATGTGACCAGCTCTCAGAGAAAACCCAGGGCGGCGAGCCTCTGAGCAGCTGCTGGACGACACTGCACACACACCATCACGACTCAGTGCACATCCTGGGTGACTCCAATGGGATGGGACTCTCGGGAGCTTGCGCCTGGTGTCCTCCGGACGTGACCCCAAGTCCTTTGCTGACCAGGCTTTGTGTCTTTCGCTATAAGTCATAGTGGTGCGCGTGACTCTAGGCTGAATCCTGGAAACCTTCCTAGTGAACTGTAGAAATTGCAGATGCTCTTGGGGATCCCAACCCCGGTGAAGCAGGGCCTATCTGTGCCTTCCTGTTGGATATCGCAGAAATCATCAGCCGGGCCCCCTGCTCCCAGATAGCTAAATGCAGGGGTGACCCTGGCTGGGCAGCACGAGCTGAATTTGGCCCACAGATGGACTCTCTGGCTCTAGATTGACTGATCTATTCAGCACTTTCTTCTTGTACAATATATTCTTGTTGCTTATCTATTTTGTACACAGTAGTTTGTATCAATCCCATACCCTATCTTGCCCCTCCCCACTTCATTCTCCCAACTGGTAACCACTAGTTTGTGCTCTGTCCTATACCTGTGAGTCTGTTTCCATTTTGCTCTATACATTCATTTGTTTTGTTTTTAGGTTCCACATATAAGTGATATCATACAGTATTTGTTTTCCTGTCTGACTTACATTATTAAACATTCTCTGGGTCCATCCACATTTTGCTGCAAATGGCAGAATTTCATTCTTTTTATGGCTGAGTAGTACTCCAGTGTGTGTGTGTGTGTGTGTGTGTGTACACCACATCTTATTTATCCATTCATCTGTTGATGGACACTTGGGTTGTTTCCCTGTCTTGGCTACTGTAAACAATGCTGCTATGAACATTGGACTATGTGGTACCTTTGATATATTCCTATACATTAATTAGCTATCTACACTGGAAAGTTGAGGATTTTTTTTTAAGTCTAGATTTCCTGCTTCTCTTGGGAAAAAACATGGAAAGGTTTGGCCTCACTGGGCTGATTTTCTGGAACTAGGGCAGGAGTCCCTCAGGCATAGCCATGCTCTTGAGTTCCCACCTCTGGCTGTGCTCAGTGTCCCTTGGGTATGGAACTAAATCCTGGCTGCAGGAGGCCATGCTGGCTTCTTGTCTGACCTTCCCTCTGGTCCCATGACCCAATTTACAACGTGTCTGGCTCTACAGACACAGGTGCAGAGGGCCCAGCCAGGCCCCACTGGGAGCTGAGACAAACTATTATGTATAAAATAAGCTAAGAGGATATATTGTACAACACAGGGAATATAACCAATATTTTATAACAACTATAAATGGAGCATAACCTTTAAAAATTGTGAGTCACTATTCTGTACACCTGTAACATTCATCAACTATACTTCAAAAAAAAAAAGATAGAGAGAAAGCACTAATGCTGTTGCCCGTACAGATGTTAAGATCGACTCAATGTCCAAATTCTAATGAGACCGTTCTAGCCCCAGGCAAGGCCTTTGGGAACCCCTCTGAGAACCAGAAACAGAGGGATGAAGAAAAGTACAAGAAAAGGCTCCAAATCCCAGGGAGACATCGTTGCTTCAGTAGAAGGTGTCATACTCTACCTGAAGGGAATGGTACCTTGGGCGCGGAAATAAGATGGATTGGAAAAGAGAAGGTGTAGCAGCACTATTCACAACAGCCAAGACGTGGACGCCACCTAAGTCTCCATCGACAGATGACTGGAAAAAGAATTTGTGGCATATACATAAACACACACACACACACACACAATGTAACATTATCCAGTCATAAAAAAGAATGAAATTCTGCCATTTGCAGCAATATGGATGGACCTGGATTATCATACTGAGTGAAGTAAGTCAGACAGAGAAAGACGAATATTATATGATATCATTTATATGTGGAATCTAAAAAACAATACAAATGAACTTATAAAACAGAAACAGACTCACAAGTACAGAAAATTTATGGTTACCAAAGAGAAAAGGGGTGGGGGGATAAATTAGGAGTATGGGATGAACAGATAGATACTACCATCCATAAAATAGACTTAACAAGGACTTACTGTAAACACAAAGAGCTACATTCAATATCTTGTAATAACCTATAATGAAAAAGAATCAGAAAAAAATATATATAGAACTGAATCACTTTAGTGTACACCTGAAATTAATGCAATGTTGTAAATCAACTAAACTTCAATTTAAAAAAGAAAGAAAGAAAAGGAGATGGTGAGGGGCAACAAAGACACACCAGGATGTCTCCGGGTGAGAATCTCATGAGGATGCAAACAGGCCAACACGTGTGGCCCGGCTGCTGGCTCCAGAGAGCCCTCAAACACTGTAAAGAACTTTGAAATGAGAACACAGCCTGGGCTCAAATTCCCACAGTTTGCAAGCGAAGACCTTGGGGCTCCTCAGCTGTACAACGGAGGTGAGAACACATTTGGGGGTGACAGATGGTGAGGGCTGAACGAAATTGCGTGAAAGCACTTAGCATAGAGGTGACCCACATCCTGCGGTCAGATCATAATAACAGTATCAGTCTGATCATCGCAGGGATCCTGTGTTCATCTACAGCTTTCTGCGTGTGAGGCACTGTCCTAAAGGCTGCAGGTGACTTATCTCATTTACTATTCATCGTGGTCTTGGACAACCCTGTCCAACAGAACTTTTGGTGGTGATGGAATGTTCTGGAACTGCCAGAACCGTCCAATATGGCAGCCACGAGCTGCACGTGAGCCTGTGTCAACTGCAGAGTTAAATGCAGCTTGTGTGACCGAGGAACAGAATTTTTAATTTAATTCTCGTGCATTTTAATTTAAATATCCCATGGGTGGGCAGTGGCTACCAGACTGGACGGTGCAGGTGTAGGAGGTAGGCTGTGGGTTATTTCCATCTGACAGATGACAGGATGGAGATTTGGGGAGATGCCAGGGTAGGAAAGTGGTGTCCTTGAGGTCTCCCCAGCAGCGTTCCCAGACATACCTGCTGGGTCCCTCCAGAAACAGAACTACAACCATCAGGGAGGAAAGAAACCCAAGGCACCCCACAGGTGGGTACCACTCTGTACCGGTTTGGGTGGGAGGAGGGCAGCATGAACTGGAATTCCACCACACAGGTGCCATCTGGGAGCTGCCGGTGCTGCAGGCTGTTTAACTCATAGGCGATGTAGCCCCTCCGCACATAAACCTAATGAAACAGAAGCACAGAGGGCATAGTGCCCCAAAACCTGAGAAAACTCAGGCTGGAGGGTACCAGGAACGATCTCGAAGCGATCCCTAAGCAGACGTTAAGAGCAAATTTGCTCACTTTTCAGAGCGTTACTTTCTCTGCAAAGGGCTAGAGAGTAAACATTTTAGGCTTTTGTGAAATACATCATCTTTTTCACAACTACTCAACTCTGCCGTTGTAGCCCATTAGTGCCACGGACAATATGTAGTTGAATGGGCGTGGCTGTTTCAACAAAACTTTATTGACAAAAATCAGGCAGTGGGCCAGCTGCGGCCCATGGGCTATAGCTATAGTTTGCCGAGTCCTGCTCTAGAGTAATGTTGTCCAGAAGAACTGTAACACGGGCCACACATGCAATTTTAAATTCATTTCAAATTTTCTGGTAGCCACTTTAAAAAAATGGCAACAGGTAAAAATAAGTTAAATAATATATTTCATTTTATTCCCAATGCCTAAATGATTATCATTCCAACATGTAAGCAATGAAATTAAGGCATTTTAAATTCTTTCTCCATACTGAGTCTTTGGAATCTGAGTCCCCTGAATTCAGGAAGATCAGAACGGAAGCAGAAAACCTGGCTCTGATCTGGATTTTGCCACTGGTCATGCTTATCTCTGCCCGACACATAGGGAGGTCACCTTAAATTGTCACCTAGGCTCCTTCCACCTCTCATAGCTCCAAGTAGAAAAATTTTCAAAGATCAATCAGAAAGTCTGGATGAAATGCCTCAGACTTGGCCGCTGGGAGTTAGTATTTAACTCTGCCCTGCCCGGAAAAGGCTGGGATGGCACACAAGAGAGCAGAAGTTACCAGCAAGGACTCTGGGCCAAGACAGACCCAATGTGGATCCCTGGTCTCCCACTGCCTAGCTGTGTGACCTCAAGCAAGTTGCTTCACCTCTGAGCCTCAGTTCCCTTCTCTGTAAGATGGGTGTAAGTTACTGGACCTACCTTGTAGAGAGAATGATAAGATCACGTTTGCAAGGCATGGGGCCCAGGGTTAAGGGTGCAGCGGGCGGGCAGTGGTGCTAGGAGGGCGTGGTCAGTACTGGTGCTGTCCCAGGGGCCTCTCTTCTGCTTACCTCCAAGGATGCCATGCAAACGATTTTGTTAGCATGATAGAAGAAAGTTGGCAGGACGTCAAATATGGTCGTTTCTGAGAGTATTAATTTCTGCAGGACGTGGAAAGGGAGAAAAAGGAAAAGTGAGCAAGTTTTAACCAACACTCAGAGAAGCCGGAGGGACGGGAGCAGGAAAGAGAGGTGGGTCCTTTTGTTATCAGGAGATGCTGCTGGTGCGCCAGACCCACGAGATCTGAACATGGAAGCAGTTCTGGGGTGACTCCTCTCCCAGGGCTCACAGCTCCAGACGTGGAGGAGGTGCTGGAAGCTTGTAAATGAACCAGATTTCGGGGTTGGGAGCCCTGAGAAGATGAAGCCATGACCCAGCCATGTGAGTGCTCGCAATTTCCAATAAGCCCCAGCACAGTGAATTTTTAAAATCACACCTCCTACGAGAGGAGGCTTTGAGGCGCTGTCCATCCTGCAGGACAAAACCTCTCCCAGAGCCTCCCCGGGGGCCCCCTCAGGCAGCCCCGGCCACAATGCACTAAATCACTGGTGTTTGCAACCGCGCTCTGCACCCGAGCCTAGCACCTTGAGGGCTAGGGGAGCCCGCTTCCCACCCTCAGGCCCCACTTGGGCCATTGCAATAGCTCTGTGCAAAGTGGACGGATGGTGACAGCCTCACCTTGAGGTTTTCCGGGCAGAACTGATGGCCGTACAGGTCGATGGCAGACAGGAAAATGGACTCCACCTGGTTGTACCTCAGCTCGTAGGAGGGGAGGTGGGAGGCAATCAGGACCTGCAGCGGGAGGGGATGGAGGGGGTGGGGTGAGCCACCCTCACCGGGGAGAAACCAAGAGCCGGGCCCTGCGGGTCGGACATGGGACAGCAGCAGAGGGGCTGCGTGCAGTGGGGGCCAAGTGTGGGGGGAGGACAGCACTCTTGACCCCCCCCCCGCACAGTGGGGACCACAGTCCACAACCCTACCTGTCTGGCTCTGAGGGCCACTTTGCAGTGCTCGGTTTTGCTCAGCTGAGTGAGCTCGTTGAGGATGGAGGTCAGCTCATCCGACAGGGAGGGGTCTGGACCACAGAGCTCATCCTTTGGGAGATAGAAACAAAATCCAAATGGCTCCGCCACAGCACAAGGAAACGTGCCAGCACTCAGCCTTGGCCAGGGGTGTGGCCGTCCCAGCAAACCTGCTGCTTGGTCCTCTGAACACACCTAGCACAGCCTGATACACACACCCTTAACCACTCTCCACCAGGGACCCTCCGTTCATTCATTCATTCACCCATTAATCCAGCCCGAACATGCCCTAAACTCCCAGCACAAAGAAAAATACATCTAAGTGCCTGCATCACTGTAATAGGTTCTTACAATGGCCAGACAAGCAGCTAGACCCTTTCCCTTCATTTCCAGGTGTGCTTTGCTCGACAAAGGCTCAAACTTAAAAAAAAACTCCATCCAAAGGACGCACTTTCAAAAGCGTTATATTATTTTAGCAATGGAATTTCCCCCAAGACTGGATGCATCCCTGGGCATAGTAAATTCCTAATCCTGGCTGCCTGTTGCAATCACATGGGGCAGCTTCGGCCCCAAATTTAATCATAAAGAATTTCAAAACTACACGAAATCAGTACATTGAGAACCCTATACTCACCATCTAGATTCAGCAATTGCTCAACTAATACTACATTTGCTCTTTTCTAACAAGCATACACGCATGCCTGCGCGCGCGCACACACACACACACACACACATTCTTTTTTTGAAAATCGGTTGCAGACACCATGACCCTTTCCACTATTTCAGAATGTACCTCCTTGAGAAAAAGAGCTTCTCCAGCTAACTGGAGAACTGTTAAAACACCCCAAGAAATGAACACTCAACCAATAATATTATCTAATACACAGTCTTTGTTTAAGATTCCCATCCGAGGAGCTTTCAAAAAGTTCTAATGCCTGGGCCCCACGCCCAGAAACCCTGGGTTAATGAACCAAGGGTGGGGCCTGGGCATCTGTATTTTTTTAAAGCTCCCCTACTGCCACCCCAGGTGATTCTCAAGTGCAGCGATGATTAAAATAGTCTCATACCGCACTAGGTTTTTAAATGATTCTTTACAAAAATATCAATATTTATGAGTCTACCTTGTTAGGATGTTCACTGTTCTATAAGCCCAGGACCAAATCCGGCCCACTGCCCAGTTTTGTAAATAAAGTTTTATTGGAACACAGCCACGCACATTCATTCACATATTGTCCACAGCTGCTCTCATGCTACAATAGCAGGGCTGAGTAGTTTCAGCACAGGCTAGAGGGCCACAAGCCTGAAATATTTACTCTCTGGCCCTTTACAGAAAAAAAGAAATCTGCCGACTCCTTCTTGCTATCAGCCAAGCCCGCGTCTCTGCTACGATCTGTTCCTCTTACATTTTCCAAGTCATATTAAGGGAAAAAAATCTTTAGCTATAAAGGAGGGCTAGTTACTACCTAGCAGAAGTAAGAACAAAGAAATTCTATGCTTCTCCAAGAAGGCAAAATGAAAGATCTATTGCAAAAGCCTCCAAATCCAATGTCCCCTGACTAATAATAGCTCGGCAGGACTCTGGAGCCAGGTTGTGGGTTCAAATCCCAGCTCTGCCCTTACAAGCTGGGTGCCCTTGGGAAAGTGACTTCACCTCTCTGTGCTGTCAAAGGAGGGTGAGAACAGTACCTGCCTCCCTAGGATTGCCGGGAAAATGAAATGAGTCAGTATTTCAAGTCAGGAGCACCTGGCACATAGTAGGTGCTTTGTGGGTTTGTCATGATAATCCCCAGGGGCTGACAAAACCCACCCACTGCCTGGTTTTGTAAACGAAGTTTCATGGGGACCCAGCCCCGCCCGTTTGCTTGCACTGTACAGTGGGCAGCTTTGAGAGGTCAGGAGCCACCGTATCATGGGCAAAGTCTAACATATTTACTCTCTGGCCCTTTTTGGAAACAGTCGGCGGACCCTGAGCTACCCCGCTCTGGGTAAAGGGCGCCCTTTCCTGCTTACGATCAACATGATCACCAGTTGGTTCTTCTTAGCCACCTGCGCGTGGGAGAAGATGCAGTCCAGCACCTGCGACATGTCTGGCTTTAGCTGCTCCCTGAGGTTTATCACACACTTGTCGTAGTGGGCTGGTGGGAGACAAAAGGCCGTGTGGGGTAAGGCCGGGAGCCCCCCTGCCCCCGCGGATGGTCACCAGTGCCAGTGGCGACGACTCTTGCCTTGTTGGAAATGGTGCTCAACCAGTAAATATTTTCGCAGGAGATCCAACACCACCGCCTTCATATAGCCGCGGGTCCCGCTGCGGTATCTGGGGAGGGAGGGAAAGCTGCCTTAACGATCAAGGCCACTTCCTGGGGTGCCTGAGGCATCTACAGCCAGGGCTTTTATGACTGAAAAAGGAGAAAACACTCATTAAGAATCTGGAGGAGGGGAGGGTAGAGCTCAGCGGCAGAGCGCATGCTTAGCATGCATGAGGTCCTGAGTTCAATCCCCAGCACCTCTGTTTAAAAAGATAATTTTAAAAAATTTTAAAAAAGGTATCTGGAGGCTGCACCCCCTAGTCCTTAGGTCTGGGAGGGAACGTATGAGTTGGTTCATTTGTGTTCATCCTGCAGGCCAAAGAGAGCAATGACTTGCCAAGGTTATGCATCCAACCAGACGCCTGAGTCTGTGAACCTCTGGAGGGGGCCTGCCTGTCCCCAGAGAGGAGGGAAAACACTTACAGAGTTGGGATGCTGAAAGGGGCCACCCTTGCATGCATGGTGGAAAACAAAAATTTTCAGTTAACCATCCAAGCTATCAAGACAGTTTGGAAAACAAAACAAAACTTAAAAGACATTTGCCAAAAGACCCCTGTGTAAATTTCACTTCCCTGTTTAAAAATGAATTGTAACCTGGATGTTCCTTAAACCATTTCCTCTTCCAAATGATTTCAGAACACAGGGAATTGAGTTTCTGAGAGCATGCGATGCTGAATTTTAGGGAAGTTGAGACCAGCTTCACCCCAGCATCACCAAGTGACAGCAAAAGAACAGGAAAATAAAATCCTCTTTTATTCAAATATAATGTGAAAAAAAAACACATGTACACAACATAGGACAGAGCTTTGAGATGCATGTTTAACACAAAAAAAAATTTGCTAGGGAATTCACCTAGCTTATCATTTGTTCATTTCTTCGAGGCATTTCTCTGATGCTAAAGGATGGGTTTAAGGTTAGCAGTCGAAGTGTTCTGGGGGAGGAATTTCCCCACCTCCAGCCCTGGGCTATGAAACTCTCACTTTGCAGGGAATCCAAACTCAAATCTCTTTCCTCAGCTATAATCCCATATTGTCAGTATGAGTCCCCATGAGCCAGGGAGCTCCCTGAAAAGCAGGGCTGTCTCCTACAGTCTTACATCCTCTGCATCTCTGGTAGTTTCATGCACATGGTGAATATGTGCTGAATTAATTTGTTCTAGTCTGAGAGTGTTTGGATTCTATCCTTAGAGGCAAAGCTTTCTTGCTAGACAGAGTTACCACGAAAAAGAGCAGTTCTTTATCATCAGAATAGTTCTCCCCTCTCAAGAACTACTTGAGATAAAATACATAAATTCTTCACCCACTCCTTCTTTGCAACAATCTCCCAAAACCGCAAGAGATAAGGTGCATCATCCTTTATGGCCTATGAAGCCATTTCATCCCATTGTCTCATAATCAATGGTACCAAGGACTTATCACTTGTCAGAACTTCACAAAAATTAATCTGCTCGTAACTCAAGATGATTTATCGTGGGTGAAGTGTTTTTATTTCCATTTTACAAACTGGCAAACTGAGATTCACAGAAGTCAAGGGCTGCTGTTAGGAAAGGCTGTGCCAGGGCTATAACTGGGGCTTCGGACCTCATGCACCATCTGTTGGTTTGAGCCTGGCTTTAGAAGAGCATCACCCTGGGGCAAGACCTGGCCCAGTGAGTGTGACAACCATACCCCACAGAGGGCCCAGGACTCACCTCTGGACCAGCTGCACGATGCTCTGGGTGTTCATGAAGAAGACTTCGCGGTCAGCCTTCCGCTGCAGGGTGGCCGCATGGCAGTCCAGGATAGTGGCTATCTGGACAGAAAAACAGGACAGGTCTGGCCACCCACAACCACACAATCCAGTTGCCACACAGAAGTCAGCGGGAGGACCCACCACAGGCTTCCATGAGGATCCCACCCAAAGCTCATTCAAAAATTAATATTTCCACCCTCAGTGCCCTCTTGTAGTAGGGAAGAACAAATCTGACTCCATATTAGATCTGTTCCTTTAGCTCTAACCCTGTGCTCTGTTTCCTGGGCTGAGTCCTGCTGGTTCTGCACCTTTTGTAAAAGAATGTTGCCTAGAACCTGAAATATATAGGAGAGTCCATTCTCAAGGCTCTGACCTTTAAGGGTATAACACTTTCCCATTCATACAGAGAAAACAAGTTACAGAATAGAAAATAACATTTGGAGGTTTACAGGGACACCATGACCTGACCCACATGGACAGCTGCAAGAACAAAGGATTCCGACACCAAGAAGCTTGGAACAACCAACCACACCCCTTCCCCCTTTTTAGTATAAAAGGAGCCTAAATTCTGGCTTGAGGAAGATGGTTCTCTAGGACATTAGTTTCCCATCTTCTCAATCTGCTGGCTTTCTGAATAAAGTCATTGATTCCTTGCCCCAACACCGTGTCTCCTGATCTACTGGCCTGTTGTGTGGCGAGCAGAATGAGCTCGGACTCGGTAACACGCTGGCCACCCAGAAACAGCTCTGTGCGTGCCACTCAATGTATGGCTTGAAAATTCAAGCGCTCAGAATGGTAACAATCACATAAAGACATACACATGTTCGTATCATCCCTCTCCACAAATACGAAGGCTCTGGAGAAAAAGAAAGTAATTTCCAACCCCAGGGAGCATGAAAGTGTTGGGTTGGATGGGGGTCCTATTTTTACAATTAGATTCCATGCCATCACCCTATTGTCTGTGGCAACAAAAATACATTTGATGCAAAACCTGCATCAATGACAAATTCCAACATGTGTTTTTCTCAACTAGGGTCCTTTAGAGCTTTGTTTGCATGAATTTTTCAGTTGAGATCACATTTCTATACCGTTATATTCCCTTCCCTCCTTTTAAAATATACAGTTAACTCAGTGGTTGATAGTATATTCACAGAGCTGTGCAACCATCACCACTATCTGACTTTAGAGCATTGTCACCACCCCCAAAAGAAGTCCTCTAACCCACAGCAGTCCCTCCCCATTCCTCCTGCAACCACTCATCTATTTTCTTTTCTCCATGGATTTGCCAACTCCGGACGTTTCCTATAAATGAAATCAGGGAACATGCGGTCTTTGGTGACTGGTGTCTTTCACTGAGCGTCATGTTTTCAAGGTTCATCCATGGGGGAGCACGGATCAGTATTTCACTCCTTTTCACGGCTGAACAATATTCCAACCCAGAGGCTGACTCTGGGAATAAACTGACCCACCCTGACCTCTAGCTCCCCAAATCACTAATGTGTGGGTGGGGAGATGACAGTAGCAGGAAACCCTTTTAACCAGACAGAGGGCACGAAGGTAAACAGGCAGAGGGGACTCTTCCTAATGCAGATTTCCTTTAAAATGCTTGATAAAAGCATCCTCCACTCAAAAAAGAACAAAATGAGGCCGACGTAGAATTATTAGAGACTTTTGATACCACCCTGGAGTGGTTTCCATTCTTATAAAGTAGTATTTACACAAAGAGCCGCAAGATTACCCCCTTACACAAAGCAGATGGGGAGAATCAATGCTACAAACTGTAAGAAAAACTCACAATCTCCTCTATTATTTCAGCCAGTGGAGTTTTGGAAAATGCTCACTCTATCTGCAGCAACTGCTCACTCCTGTTCTGAATCCAAGTTTTACGGAGGGAGGGCTAATGATTGCTTATGTTCATCTAAACAGCTGTCTTTGGGGGACATGCTGGGATTCTGCAGAGAAGGCATGAAAGAAAACAGCATCTCGGGCTGTACATGGGTCTCACGAAGCCCAGTTTGATCAGAGGCCAGGTGTCAGACTGACCGGGAGCGGAGTTCCCGGCGGGGCTGGCGGCGGGGTACGCACCTGCTGGCTAGGGAACTGGCACAGCACCGAGGTGATGTTGCTGGCATACTGGGCCATCACCCTGCGGACCGCCTTCTCCACAGGGGCAGGGATGCGGCCTGACAAGCTGGTCATGGTCTCCTGCAGCTCCAGCAGCGGCAGCGACGGGTCCCGGAGGGTCATCAGGAGCTTCTGTACCCAGTCCTTCAGCTGCAGCGGGGACCATGGTGTCGGCCTGAGGCCCTGCAGGGGGTGTGGCCACTGCCACCCACCAGAGGGCTCCGACACTCAACCCGTCCAGTCCCCGTGCACTTGTTTCCAAAGATGTAGACCCAGGATTATGGGGACTAGTCCTGAGTGGATGGCCCCCTGACCACAGCAGGAATGAACACCCAGTTTCCCCACCCAGAAAGGCTGCACTCCCCTCTCCGTGAGTCCAAACAGCCAGTGTGGGCTGAGGACAGAATATAAGGCCCTGTGAAGAGCCAATGTTTGTGGGACACTCGCTTAGTGCCAGACACGGTCCTAAGACCTGCATGTGCACGTTCCCATCTGATCCTCAGAAACAACCCGACGAAGGAGGTATATCATCATTCCCATTTTACAGCTGGAGAAACCGAAGCACAGAGAGGTTAGTTAAGTTACCCAAAGTCACCCAGCTAGTAAGAAGCCACATCGGGGTGCAAACTCAGGCAGACTCAGAGACTGACCAGCTATACTCCACTGCTCCCGGTCACCCAAAACGTTGATGGTCTTTGAATGGGGAGGATAAGGGTGCCAACCCCATAACATGGTTGTTTAAGGTTTAAAAATGAAGTCACGCATGCCCTGGTAAGTGGAAGGACTGAAAAAATGTTGCAATTCTAACAGACAATTAGGCAGCATCACCTAGGGGCTAGGAGCATGGACGCTGGAGCCAGAGGGCCAGGGTTCAAGTCCCCTCTTTGCCTCTTCATGGGTGAAACAAGGCAAGTTTCTTAGCCTCTCTGTGCCTCAGTTTCGTCACCTGTAAAATGGAAATAATAACAGTTCCTACCTCATAGGCTGTTGGGAGGATCAAATGACTTAATAAGTTTTAAGTGCTTAGCGTAGTGGCTGGCACATAACACGATCGAGATGAGGGCTGGTTGTTATTATCAGTGTCACCACTGTCACCATGACTGGCTATTCTGGGACGGTCTGCAATGCAGCCGAGTTTTAAGGCTATTGATGCTGAGTTTAGCAGCATGGGTCTTCCATGGAGGTCTGCAAATCTGAGAACTACTTCTTCCTCCATAGACAACGGGACCCTGGGGTGATGAATAGAGTGGTGCTTCTGGACAAAGTCCCTTCCTTGCTGTGTCTTTAAGAGGGTGACCCACCCTCGACTCCTTTCTTAACTTACTACGTGAACATCCTCAGTGTTGAGCAGAACCGAACCCCCCCAAAAAAATCAATGAAACTTCTACAATAGTTTATAATCAAAGGGAAATGCACACTGATACTTACAATGAAACTGAGGAATTCCCTGAGAACAGGTCCTTGATAAAAATGACAGAGAATGACCCATTTTCTCAGTCCTTCCTTCAGTAAAGATCTCGGGATCTTCTGGTCACCTGGACCTATGCACGTGTGTGCGATACACACCTCCCCTACACATGTGACCCACCTTGATGCTAAAAATAGGCTCCGGCAGGCAGTAGCCGTTCATGACATTGGTCAGATTCTCCAGGACGTTGTGGAAAACCTGGTTCAGTTTCTCTCCGAGGATGGGCAGCGTTTGCTGGGCGGGGAGCTCTCCCATGAATGGCTCAGCCTGACGAGACACAAGAACCAGAAGTCAAGGCCACTGTGGCCTCTGAGGGAGACAAGCCAAGCCAGGGACCAAGGCAGCTCTACCAACACACAACAGACACATCAAAGTTGGAATGAAGCCTGGCGGGGAGAGGGGAACGGGAGAAAACATCGTAGTGGAAAGTTAAAGCTGCTACCTTCACACCCCTGTGTGAGGTTTCCACATCTTCCCCCTTGCAAATGTCAGTTATGCACCTCCAGTCATTGTGGAGGGGGTGAGATGTGATCAAAGACATTTTTACATATTGAGATGTAGGGAAGTCATTCTGGCTCGTATGTGAGTTAAGTTGAATTTTATGCTAACCAGAACAGCCTGTTTGTGGCCTATCAAATATAAATTGTACACTGGCTTTCATTATTAAAGAAAAAGACCAGAAGTAGCGAATGTCCCTGTTAAAAATAAAGATTAAATGCCTCCCTTCCTGGGATGTGATGCTGGTCCTCTGGCAATAAGACTTCCTTCCAGGCGCCAAGGCCATGCTGACTCACTGTGTATGTGCCGATCTTTTTTTTTTTCGGAAACCTTGAAGGAACGTATCCCTGACTTGTTTGATGTTCACTGTTTTGACAAAACATCAAACTGTGCTGGAAACTATTCTTCTCTGGGAGCAGCTCCTCCGATTATGAGAGGCTGTCTTCTGGGCTGCAGTCTTCAGTTTGGCTCAATCAAAACTCTTTTCTGTTCTTATTAGAGATTGTTTATTGCTTATTTTCATTGACAGATGCTTCTGTTTTGCTTTGCTTTCTCACCAAGATTATCTGCCTGTTTTCTCTATTTTCCATCTCTTGAATCCCAGGGATTAATCCCGGAGATTAAGCCAGGCCGCCTCCCCGCATGCCTGGCCTGCTCTAGGAGGGTGAAAATTTAGGAAATTCTCATACCAAAGTCTGTGCATTTTGTAAATCATAAACAGCACTGCACTAGTGTGTGTTCATCCAATAAATATCTATTTAGGCGCTGGGGACCCTGCATGGTGACGGCTGCATGCAATGTGAACGGACTTAATGGCACAGAACTGTACACTTCAAAAGTTTAAGAGGGTAAATTATACATTATGTATATTTCATCAAAATTAAGAAAAAAAGCTACTAAGGAAATCTGTGTAAAGCATGGACTTCCATGAATAATGATGCCTCAACATGGAAGCAACCTCAGTGTCCAATGACAGATGAATAGATAAAAAAGATGTATATACATATACAATGGAATACTACTCAGCCATAGAAAAAGAATGAAATAATGCCATTTGCAGCAACATGGGTGGACTTGGAGATGATCATACTAAGTGAAGTAAATCAGACAGAGAAAGATAAACATCATATGATATCACTTATTTGTGGAACCTAAAAAAAGATACAAAGGAACTTATCTTACAAAAGGAACTGATTTACAAAACAGAAACAGACTCACAGACACAGAAAACAATCCTATGGTTACCAAAGGGGAAGTAGGGGAGGGAAATACTAGGAAATTGACATTAACAGATCTACATCACTATATATAAAATAGACAGACAACATGACATACTTATAGCACATGGAACTATATTCAGTAACTTGAAATAACCTATAATGGAAAAGAATCTAAAAAAAAATACATATATATATACATGTATAACTGAATCACTTTGTTGTATACCTGAAACTAACACAACATTGTAAATCAATTATACTTCAATTAAAAAATAAATAACAATAATAACATCTCAATATTGCTTCACTGTGACAGAGGTGTCACATGAGTGCAAAAAAACAGCAGGGAATTGGGTGGGAAAGAATAGGGAAACAATAAGAACTCTCTGTACCATCTTCCCAAATTTTTCTATAAACTCAAAACTGCTAAAAAACATAATAAAAGCTATTAAAAAATTTTAAAGGTGGTCAAGGAATGCTTCACTGGAGGGATGATGTTTGAGTAAAAATTCACAGGAAGTGAGAGGGTGAGCCTTGTAAATCCCTGGAGGGAGGTTCTTCCAGTGCAGAGGGAGCCAGCCCCAAGGGGACAGGTCTGGAGTGGTACATTAAGCAGGGGGAGGGGAAGAGAGGATGAAGCCAGAGAGGAAAGCGGGGGAGAGCTCATGGAGGGTTTTGCAGGTCATCGGAAGGACTTGGGCTCTGTTCTGCACAGGACGGGAGATGCTGAGCAAAGGCAAGCACATTTCTGCCCCCGTCACACTGGCTGCCGGGAGCCTCAAGTCTGTCTGGCAGTGGGCAGGTAGGGCAACCGTGCTGGGGTGTCACATACTGAGTGCACTTTAGAAGGGTCATCGAGCTCCAGCCTGGCCACCACACAGCCCGCTTCCAGCACAGCCCCCGGGCGCTTGATATACTTCACCCGGCCACTTTCCTGCACGGTCAGGGTCATGATCATCTTCATCACCTGTTTTGCAGAAAGACAAAATAAGTTGGAGCCCACCAAGACTGGTCGGTGTCACCCCAGACTAGTAACGGGGACCATGTCCTTTACACAGAATGACTCCCCGGGCAGAGTTCAAGCAGAGAGGGTAGAGGGAACAGGTGTTTACACAGCCTGCTGCCTGCCGGGCACTCTTCACAAATCTGCATCTGCAAAGCCAGCTGGGGAGGTAGGCTTTTTTGTGCCCAATTTACAGACCTGGAAACTGATGTTTATTTCCAAAGTATGTCCTCTCTCTCAGAAATACAGCTAAATCCTATTCTGCAGGGTGACTGATGTACACAGTCCTAGCATAAGCTGCATGTTGTGACTGGCTCCTTTTTTAAACGCAGTGAGAAAACCCTCTGGGGAATGAAGAATACGTTTGCAGCGCGGTCATCAGCCCCTTTAACTGGCCGAGAGTCTGGCCGAGTGGATGTGATGAATTTTTCAGTGGTAAGTGCTTTGCAGGTGTGTGTTTACCACTTTTTTTTAAATACATATTTTTAAATTTACTGAACAACTATTTTATTTTTTGTTTGCGTTTTTTAGGGGAGAGGGGTAATTAGGTTAATTAACTAATTTTTTTAATGGAGGTACTGGGGATTGAACCCAGGACCTCCTACATGCTAAGCACACACTCTACCCCTGAGCTATCCCCCCTCTTTACCCCTCCCCGCCTCCAACTACTGTTATCATTCATTAGTGCTTACTCGTTCCTGGGGAGGTGTACAATTTTCAGGTTTTTCCCTCTGAATACTGCAGGGAATTTGGGCTGAACCCTGCACCCTGGCTCTTTTAGGCATTTGCAGATGATGACCCAGGTGAGAAGGGAAGCCTGTTCGCTGGGGTGCAGAACCACTGCCCACTGGCCCTCCCTCCAGGAGGTGGGTGGGATCCCCACCCCCAGGGACGGGCTCTGCCGTCACCTCGATCTCAGCGTAGCTGCCCCCAGCCTCGACGTGGCCCCCATCCTCCACCATGTACTGCATCAGCTTCCCCGCCGAAGGGGCTCGCAGGACCGTGGGATCATTCTCCTTCTCAAACACACATGTCTTGTTGCCGATGGTGATGCGGTAACTGGGAGAGAGAAGGAGCGAGGAGGAGGTGGGGACACTGGAGGGGACCACTGACCCAGGTGCCCAGGTCAGGCTTTCCACAGCATCTTCCCTTCCTAAAGGCAGCCGTGAGCGTCACCCTGTGTAATCTGAGGGATTCACTCCACTTTCCCCGATGGTGGCGTCTGATGGTTCCCACAGAGATACTGGGAACGAGAGGTGGTGGGACCCTTTTCTGGCTGAAAATTAGTTCCTCTTCCTGACATCATTCCAACAGGCCCCAGCACAGAGACAGCAATCAGCCAACAGCATTCGATAAACACTGACCCACTGAAAGGCTTCACCTTAGAACCAGGAAGAGCATGAGTCTTGGGTGGAGCCTATGATCATATTGAATATTCTTGGCAGATAGTACATAGGTTAAAAAGAGGTAACGAAACACCAATCTGGAATGAATCTAGTCCGACTTCTTCCACTGAGGATTGGGGAGGGAGTCTCCACGCCCCAGCTGGAGCCTCTTCAGGCATGGGGCCTCTGAACGCCCCCCCCACCCTTTCCCTCCCCATCTTACTCTCCTTGGCCAGGGGACTTTGTCACCTGTTTAGTTGGGGGGCATCCTACATGTCACTGTGTGAGCTCAGGGTGGTCAGACACACTGGACTGGGAGGGTCTCTGAGTCTGTCTCACGATAGAGATATCTCTGTTCTAAGTGCTACCGAGTCATCCTGTTCCACACATCCAGACACAGAGCAACCTTTCCTGCCATCACCTGCTGGTTCCATGTGTCTCTTCCCCGACAGGCTCCACGAGTCGTGACCGGGACTCTATCCTATCACCTCATCCAGCACCTGTTGTAACTGGACGCCCATAAACAGCCGCTTCCC